CTGCTTCTGCCTCCCAAGTGCTAGGATTAAAGGCATGCGCCACCACTCCCAGCAATATATATTTTTTTAAATAGGCAAAAAAGATTCTCAAGGACTTCATCATACATAAAAGATAAATGTGTTAGGACACAGATACATTTAATCTTATATAAGCATTGTCCAGTATGTACAATATATAGAAGCATTACATGTGTAAGTGTCTGTAATTTGGTGTTTTATATATAGGTTGAAAAACTTAAGCTAAAAAGAAAGTGCAGCACTATCTAAGAAAAATGATCCATGTGTTACATTTTATTAAAAAGTATTTTAAATGGTTTCATTTCAGCCTCGATCTTTCAAGTATTTTATATGCTTTACTTGCCTGGTTTTACTTGAATTTTATCCCTTAGCATCAATAGTGAACGGAAAAGCATATAAGAAAAGAAGTATAATAGTCAAGTTTGAATCATTGGAGATTGGCAAGGCTCATGGTCCATTTGTTAGATTACACAGTGCCCTGGTTTATGATTTGAAATTGTATGGACGGCATATTAGCTCAGAGGGAGCAGCATATACGTCAATCTGTAGCTTTGTGACTTGGCTAAATTCAAGTGAACTTGAAGTTTCAATTAAAGATGAGAATTGCATTCGGTGCAAACACTGGCATTTTGGATGTTATATGCCCTTCAGGGGTCCGTTAGAGAGCGCTGAGCAAACAAAGCAAGCATGATTATATCACTTCTCTTGTTAGGATAATGTAATCATATTCTTAAAAACATTGAAGATCTTTATGCTTCAAGAAAGGGGAAACCTAATGCCTGAGCACTGTGCTCTATGAAAACATTAGAAGAATTAGTATTAAGTGCAAATAAATAGGAAATATTTTTGTTAAATCTTGAGCACCGTGCTACTTCCTGTTTGTTTGTTTTTTATAGATGTCCTAGTTTCATTTCTGTTGCTGTGCTAAAACACTGACCTTAAGCGGCTGGGTCTATTTCACTTAGGATTCCAGGTTTTGTTCCATCTCTGGAAGTAAGAGAACCTGGAGCTTGAGCAGCTGGTCACACCATATCCACAATTAAGAGCAGAGGAAAATAAATGCACCCATTGCCTGACTGCTTGTTTATCTGACCTTACCCTGTTCTGGTAATTTGGGACCCCCTTCTTAGAGAATGGACTAATCACAATGGCCTGCATCTTCCTATATCAACTGAGAATCAAGACACTCACAAAGCCTAATTCAATCTGGACAGTATCTCAACGAAGACTCTCTTTCCAGATGATTCTAGGATGTGTCAAGCTGACAGTTGAAACTTATAAACACAATCTCTCAATTCTCATCAGAGAAGTTTTACTTTGCAGTAGATAGAAATTAACTAGATACCAACAACGAATCAACATTCAGAGAATAAGAGACTTTGGAATGGCCAGCTCTAAATGGGACATCTATATCCCATCACTCCCTCAACTCAGGACCTTCACATGGTGGAGGGAGTTGGGGGGTGGAAAGATTGTAAGAGCCAGAGGTGGTGGATGATTACAAAGAAATAATGGTTTCTGGACACAACAGGGCTGTTCCACATATGAGCTCACACAAGATCTTCTCAAGCTTAAACCAGATAAAATTTCAGCATGAGGGCTGGGGTTGGGAATCAATCCATCACCCACCCGTGAGGAACAATTAGCAATGAAAGCTGCTTGGAGAGGTAGAGCCAGTTTTCTTTAAAGTATGGCTTCTGGTAAGTCAAGAAACATACCTCAGTGCGCAGCCACACATAAGAGTATATGGGTGGCACAAATTTGATTTGATAGGTTAAAAAACAAATGAGGACATAAATCTGAATGGGTAAGGAAGGAAGGATCTGGAGGGAGTGAATATGATCAAAATACAATGTATGAATTTCTCAATGAATTAATAAATATTTTAAGCGTATTGGTATAACAGATAATCTGATTTCTCACAAATATACTTCAAATAAGTAAACAACTTTAATTTCCTAGATCTTTTTTGTTCAGAGATGATGAAAAACACTGTAAAGCTCAAAATAGTAACTGCGTAAACATTTTATTTCAATTTTAATTTTTAAATTATATTCAGTGTTACTATCTAAACAGCTGATAGACCTGATGTTGCCCTTCATAAAGTCATTTGTTGTCCATGAATATATTCTTAACTTTGAATTGCAATTTTTCTTTATTATTTATGTGAAAAATACAGGGAACATTGTCTTAAGTTCATCTTCTAGGATTTCAAAGTTGGGGGAAAAAGATGTGGAAACTTGATGCTAGCACTGTATTCACAGTAGTACTCTGTGTTTTCTCTGAAAAAAGGAGAGCTGTGGTCTTGTAGGGACCAGTGAATTTGCTTTTATAAACATGGAAACCTATAAATAATTTGTAGTGTGAGAAATCCCCACTTTATTCCTGTCTCTTAATTCCTTAAACATCTGAAGTAAAGT